GCTCAGTTGTGAGCTACTTTAGGAAGGATAGCTTCCTACTCCTCCTGGTAGCAGCCCTACCACTGGTACCTGGGGGTATTGGACCAACTGTTAATACCTGCGTACTGGACCAACTGTTAATAGCTGTATCCAGGGTGCTATTTTCAAACATCTCTGGGAACCCTCAACCCCCAAAGTGAGCAGAATCACTGGAAAAGGAGAGAGACAAAAGGTATGGCAATCCCTATTCATAAGAAAGAGCTGCTCAGCTCTGAGTTCTGCATCTACAATACACAGGGGGCATGGTGTTCAGCATCTATATCATCTATGGTCGCCACATACAAAGACCCTGAAAAAAAGTGAGACACCCTCATTTCATGCTGTTGCTCCTACTGACACCACTGGGTGACCTCAGAGATGTGAAGAGAAAGCAACTCTGTGCTCAGTGGCCCTCCTCTCTGCTGGCCTGCTGAACCAGTATGCAGCTCTGTGGCAGCTTTAAAGATGACATGACTGGTATTTACCTGCTCCGCTGGCTTCCTCTTTCTTAGAGACAGAAGCACAGGGAGTTATTTGTACAACCCTGGTTCCCTGGTGTGCCAAGAGAATAGACCCATTACAGGAAGTACTTATAAATTATAAGCTCAAGTTAGCAGCAGCTTCGCAAGTGTATATTTGGGAGGGGAGATTGCTGTATTTCACTAGCAAAGTGAGAGAGGATACACAAAATATTAACAGGCATTTTGGAGCATCTGGAAATGGAGTGTATCAAGGGCAGCTTTCTTTTATTCAGTGCCGTCACTGCACTGCAATGGCCTCCTGTAAACTCGCTCCCTGACAGATGAACCAGATCTGAGGGCTGCACAGAGAATTCACCGGTGTGAGTCAAGGCAGACCCAGGACTGGTTAATCACAATCAAGGATTATTTTACAGCTCCAAAAGTGATCCTCAGGTTGTGTTGAAAAATAATGCCCACGTTCAACAGCATAAGGGCAGAGAGGCCCCAATTCTCTACCTCCTACTAACGATCAGTAAAAAATGTTTTCATATTTTAGGTTTTGAAGCAAAGGGAAAGAAAAGTGAGGACTTGACAGATAAAAGAAGATAGGAATACAATAAATCATTACAGACAAAAGAAAAATAGCACATTCCAAGTCTCAGATGTGTTAAGGAACCCTGAACATTCATGGAGTCGTGAACCTCTTAATATGGTGAACTACCATATTAAGGGATATCAAAGGAATTAAAGGATTAAAATCTGGGAACAGTTAACTGGAAATTAATACTTTCCTCAAGCATAACAGAAGGACTTAGAATTCCATTCCCCCACAACACAGACACCACGGTCTAAGTTCCATGAGTAAGAAATTATTGTCTTGTTCATTAGTAAGTTTCCAAGTATCAAGAACAGTACCAGGTATACAGTAGGAACTAAATAAAAAATTTTGAATTAGCAAATAATGTTTTCAGCCATTGCTTTGATGTGTTACCTAAAAAATGGAGTAAGTGATCAATAAAGAATAACTATTGTTATAACAAGTACTCATGTGTTGGAGTTAAAATAGGAACCTTCAGCCAAAAAAAAAAAAAAAGATGTTAGTTAAGTGTACTAAGTATCACAGTTTATATGACTTGAGTTGTTTTTTAATTAAATATCATAGCATGCAATAAAATGAATAAATCTTGTGGCATAGCTGGATGCATTTTGAGAGATGTTCAAGACAGAAAATAATGACCATTGCCCCTTTTCTGTCCATCACCGTCCCCGACAGCAGCAGCCATTATTCTGATATCTAACCTCGTGGACAAGTTTTGCCTCTTCTTGAATTTCATATAAATGGAAGCAGACAGTATAATCTTTTGTGTCTGTCTTATTTTGTTCAACATAATGGGATTTGAAATTCATCCGTGTTGTCAGGCCTATGAATAGTTCACTCTTTCTTATTACTAAGTAGGCTTCCATTTGATGAATAGACACTAAATTATTTATTCCCTTTCTCGTGAATGGATACTTGAGTTGTTGCTTACTTCTTGTAAAAATGTAACATTTTGGATTTATATTTACATTTCTTTGGTATAGATAACCACAAATGGAATGTCTTGGTCATAAAATGTGTGTATGTTTCATGTTATTAAAAAAAAAAAAAACACTACAGAACCATTTTGTGTAATTGTTATAATTTTACATTCCCACCAGCAGTACACTGTGTAAGACTCACTTGCTCCACACTCTCACTACAATTTGATGTCATTGCTATTTTTACTTATAGCCACTGCACAGGTATGAAATAACACCCCCAGTGCAGCTGTAGTCTGCATGTTACTTATGACCAATGATGTTAAGCATATTTTCATGAATTTTTGCCATTTCAAATATCCTTTGTAAAGTGTCTAAGTAAATTTCCCACTTCAGTTATGCTGTTTCTCTTTCTGTTATTGATTTGTAGGTGGATTTTTTTTACATATTCTGGTATGAATACTTTATAACACATATGTATTAAAGTTTTCTTTTAATTTGTACCTTGTTTCTTCCATTTTTAAAATATTTTTACTTTTGATAGAATACAGTTATCATCTTTACTGTATGTTTGATACTTTTGGCATTGTTTAAGAAATCTGTGACCTTTTCAGACAACAAAGTATCTTCCTGTACTATCTTTTAGAAACTTTGTAATTTTAGTTTTTACATTTAAACCTGTGATTTATTTCAAGTAATTTCTTGTGTATAGTTTGAAGAACTAATCAAGGTTTATTAGTTTTCCATGTGAATATTTAGTGGACTTCATACTATTTATTAAAAAGGTTTTTTCTCTAGCCTGTTCTCATAATAATTCCTCAGAAATTATTCAAATGTGTATTTGTGGTGCTACTTTTATTACTTCACTGTTAAATAAGATATTAGCTATAGGCACTCCATAGATACCTTTTATCAGACTGAGGAACCTGCCTTCTTTATCATGAAGGGATATTGAGCTTCATTAAATGTGTTTTCTGCATCTATTGAGGTAACCATTGAATGGTCTCCTTTTTCTTGTTAATATGGCAAATCACATTGATTTATTTTTAATGCTAAACCGATGTTGAACTCTTAAAATAAAATCTACATAGCCATGATGTATTAGCCCTTTTAAAATATATTGTTGGATTCTGATTAGAAATATGCTGAGAAACTGTGTTAATTGGTGTTACTTCTTTTTTAAGTGTTTGATAGAATTCACAGTGAAGCCACCTGGACCAGAAGTTCCTCTTTTTTCCTTTTGTAAGTGAGGTTTTTGTTATATGTTCAGTTTCTTAGCAAATATGGAGTTGTTCTCTTCTCCTTTCAGCTTCCTTTTCTTTAATCTATTTGTCTATTTTGCCGACATTGTCAAATTTGTTGACATAAATTTTTCCTAGTATTTTTTATCACAAAGAACTTGTAATTTCTTGAGTTTTTAATATTAATTATTTTTTTTCTTTTCATCATTGCTTAATACCATAAATTTTATTAAACTTTTCAAAGAACTGGTCTTTCATTAATTTTTTCTATAGCTTGCATTCAGTTTTGTCAATTTTTGCTCATATTTATTATTTTTCTCTTTTACTTCATTTAGATTTATGTTCCTCTTCCTAGCTTCTTAATTTAGAAGCTTAAGTTATTGGCTTTGTATTTTCTCTTTTTTTTTCATTACAAACATTTAAAGATATGAATTTCCCTCTTAGCACATCTTCAATTTTACTCTTCAGATTTTGCTGTGATATGATATGTTTTCATCATCATTCCACTCAGAATATTTTCCAACATCTCTCTGTTTCCATTTTGCCCAATAGGTTATTTAGAAATGTGTAAAAGTTTCTGAATATTTGAAGATTTTCTATATATGTTTTTTGTTACTGATTTTTATTTTAAGGCTGCTACGGTCAAAGAGTACATTATACATAATTTCAGCCCTTCTAAATGTCTTGAGACTTGGTTAATGTTCCAAATCATAGTCTACTTTAAGAGTTTTCCGTGTGTTCTTGAAGGAATATGTACGTTATAGCTGTTGGATGTGATACGCTGTTTCCTTACTCATCTTCTTCACCCTTTGCTTCTAGATATCTGTCATCATCTCCCCAAGGTCAGTCTGTTTGCCTATTATTTTCTCCTGATTTTAGTTAATTATATTATGTCTCCCATACCACATCCTTTATTTTCCTCTCCTCTGGGATCACCCAGGTCTCCATTTGATGTGCAAAGTAAAGGTGAATCTCAGGATTCTAAAATAATTTAGAAGTCAGGCATTGCTTGTCAAGGAAACAAGATAACAATATAAGCTCCCTTCTTGATTTTTTTTTTTTTTTTGCTTTCTTTATGTTATAGTGTGGCTAATAATTAGAGAGTTGAGTATGGAAGGATATAGAGTATACCTGGGACAGATATTGTCACTGTATGCAGAAGATCATCTGCAAATTTCCTGTGAGTCTTTCCTGATGCAGGACCTGGGGTGGTTTCTTTTTCTTTGCACACTAATTTTTCACATTTTTCAAAGTTAATATGCATGAACTTGGAGATATGCTTTACAACCTCCCTCTCCAACATATGATTTATAGAAGTGATATATTTAAGTTTTGAAAATTAGTTCACTTAAAATAAGACTAATTTAAATGAAAATACAGAGCGTTAGGCCAATAAGTTAAATGATGAAAATGGTACACGTTTAGGAGATTTAGGCAAACTGTTATATAGTCCATATTTGCTACTGTAATGGTACAAATCAAACTTGACTGTCATTAAATTCTCTTAAAACCTCCCAGGATTCCTAGTGGCATTTGAGAACCAACTTGCATACAGAACGTTATTACAAGTTCACCCAGGTAAAGAATTCCAGTTGCACCTTATGGTAGTCAGTATCCCCGTTCTAGCAAAAACCTGCCCTTGGTTTTAGGATGGAGCCTGGAACAGCTCTACAGTAAATGCAAAAGAGTAATTCAGCCCTTTCTCCCCACACTTGCTGCCCTTTCCACATTCAAGACAGAGAGGATGCGAGAGGATGCTCACCTTTTCCCATTCTCGGTCTTTGTTCAGCACGATCACCACCAGCCTGGGATGCACCTGATAGCCTTCCTCAGTAAAGGACAAGTCTTTGCCATCCCAGGTCACATTGACCATAAATCTAGACAGAGGAAGAGAGAGAAAGACAAATTTTCAGAGAAGAATTTAAAAGGTACCAAACAAATGAGTGGATGCCACCAGCATCAGCATCAGCCTGACAGGGTGAGCGTCCACAGCCTTTCCCGACACACGCAGCCCCGGCTGTGGACGCATCTGTGTCCAGGCTGGTGCTGCTCACTGACCAGGCTCTCTGTTCCATATGCCTGGACTCTTTCTCAAAATCTTCAATCCTGTGTAGACATGAAAGATTTAGCACATAAAATAGAACACTTCTGTCCTGCCACGTTCATAAAATTGGGTTCAAATGCTTTGTTAGATAGCATATTCTATCCCCCTTTAACAAGCTTCCCTGAAGAAACTTGCTTGCTCATAAGCCACATGGTGTTCAACTGTGGAAAAATGCTGTCCCATCTATTTATTATTCAATCAATTAGCATGTTTTTAAAGCATTCATTACATGTCAAAGCTCAGGTGGTTGGGAAAGAGACATGATCCCCTGCCCTTGTGAAGTTTATAGTCTAAGAGAAAAGGAGGTGTTAATTGATTAGTCCCAGACCTATGATAAATGTTACATTGGAAAGAAGGATGTTCTGTGTGGAAGTGAAACAGGGATCACACAAGGTAAAGGAAATAGAATTTGACCTGAAGGATGAGTCAGCATTAAACTAGGTAAGAAAATATACAAGCAAGCAAAAGAGACAATATGTGCAAAGGCACTGTGGTGGCATACATAAAAGGAACTGGATGCAGAACAGTGAAGCTAAGGCAGAGAAAGACAGAGAAATGGTGGTATTTGGTGGGGCTGACAATATGAACAGGAGCAGATAGTATAGAGTTTTGTAGGCCATGTTAAATTTTGTCTTTGTCTTATAACAATGGGAAGACATTGAAGTGTTTTAACCAAGGAGGTGGCATAATCATCCATTTGCCTTATGCCAGACTATAGAGAGTGGATTGGAGAGAGACTAAAATTGATAAGGGATATTATTTCTCCAATCAAGGTGAAAGACAATTGTGGCTTTGACTTTGATGATGACCAAAGAAGAGGGGGAGATGGAGGAAAAGGAAGAAATAACAGCAGAAAATAAATAGGACCGAGTGGAAAGATATTCAGCTGGATCCTATGTGAGGACCAGACAGAGGCATCAAGGTCACCTCCTAGCGTCTGACTCATGCAACATCCATGTCGCCTACTTTAACCCAGATGTTTTCATCACAGGTGACATCTGTCTGACCTACCACACAGGTACCTACACCATCCCTCAAAGCTACCTTGCCTGTGGTCAGACTGGATTTAGCTAGAGAAAAAGGGCAGAGCTTCTCTCTCTGGATTCAGAAGCGAAGGCTCCCAAGGTGATTGTATCTCTGCAATTGGAGACAAAAATGTGATGTTAAGAAAGCCCAAGAAGACATGGCACTGGCCACAAAGCAGACACCAAATAAAAATAATACACAGCACATTCGAGACTACCCCAGAGAAACAGGGACCCTCGAAGCCGTTGCATTTTCTTGCTTTGTTTTTCCTTCCCTCCAAAAACAGCTAAAGAAGTGTGGGAAAGGCTATAAATAATAAGATTATCCTAGTGGGCCACCTGGCTTCACTGGCCCTTCACAGTGCAGAACAGTGTTACCATGACACCTGAGAGAGAATCAGGACTCCAAGGACACCGTGAGAAAATTGGGGAAAAGGCAAAGAACAGCACTGTGTCTCCATTCAATGGACTATTTGGGTCATTAACAATCATGTTTTTGTCACATTAATAGCATGAAGAAATTGCTCACTACCTAATGTTAAACAAGCAGAAAAGAAGATACAAATAAAGCTTCTCTGTACATAGAAAGATTACAGGTATTTTCCATTTCCATTTGTATGTCTTTTATTCCCCAAACTCTCTGCAATCAAATCCTTCAACCAACAGAAAAAATAAAACACTGCTATTCTAGGAGCAAATAGTAATCACTATTCTACTTGATGCATTTGAGATATCTCTGATCATTCCCTAGAATGATATTTTCTTGACTCAACAGCTATTTGCTGTATGTCTGCTATGTGTCAGGTCTTACGATGAGTCTTATAGATAAGAAATAAAGAGCACAGTGTTTTTCTACCCGCTTACCCACATTCTTACAATTCAAGGACATAAACACATAAGCAACAATGCCTAAAGTACCACTCGGGCACTGTGGAGAGGAAGGTGAGACGTTGTAAAAATAGAGAGGGTGGTCCTAGACTCAACCTGGAAAATTAGGTGAGTACTTCTAAAACCTTGAAGGGTTGAGGATGCGAGCAGGAGAAAACATTCTGGTGAGGGGAGTCCTCCTAAGCACACAAGAATCAGCTAAGATGGTGATACACACCAGAAGAAGCAGGAAACATCTCGGTCAGGCCAACATGCTGTGCAGTGGATAAACCTGGGAGGATCCTTGAAGTTAGATCACAAGAGACCTTGTCTGGCTGACTGAGTGTCTTGGTTTTGTTCAGAAGGCCAGGGGATCCATGAAAGAAAGGCTTTAAGATTGGGAGCAGTGCACTCAGATTGCTGCCAGTAGAAGCAAACCTGTAAGTCTTTTCTGCATTTGAAGACAGCATCAACATTTCTGTTAATGGCTTAAACGCCTTGCATTATCTAGACAATTGAATTTTTTCTTTTCTGTTCTTTCCTCCTTTTGATATTTCTTGGCTATCATGTGATGAGCTAAATGGATGGCATCCAGATCAGCATTACTTCCCTTGTTTAGGCTCTTGCAAAAGTATTTACATGAGTGGGGGTTTAGAGGAAAACTGAATTTTGGTCAAATTCCTGAGTATCAGCAGACCCTCCAAGTAATTAATTGGGACCTATATCAGGCTGTCTTTATTTCTCAAGCTGGCATTTTGGTTTTGTGCCTTCTGGTTATTTTTGGTCCTACCACATTTTCTGGCATAATGTGCGGGGTAAGAGAGGGAGCTCAGCGGCTGAATACACTGACAGATAGAAATCAGTAGTACCATCCATAAATACATTTATTGGTCCTCCCATCCATCTGTCAACACATTCTTCCAATCATCCATCCATCCACTAATACATTCATCAATACACTTACCTATTCTTCCATCCAATAGACCTGTTTGAGTGTGTACTATGTGCCATACCCCGGCTCAAGAACTTTGCTCCAAAAAATAACCATACTGTTTTGAAGAGAGGAACACAAATAACTACCATAAATAATGGTAAGTGTAAAATAGAGATATGTACTAACTAAGTCAGTGAAGAGCAAAAGGAGTGGCCAGTCCTGTGGCGATTCCAGGGCTGGAATCTAGAAATAAAATGGAAGATGTTTGGATTGTGATGGGAAGAGAGAACAAAGATTGAGCAGGAGGATGGCATAAAAAAGGGGAAAGACTCATTGCACAAGGGAGCCTGCAAAGACGGAAGCAGAGAATGATGAAATTTCACAGTGAGTTCCACGAGTTGGAAACAGTTATAGTTGGGTTACAGAGTTCATAGGGGAAATAGCTTGGAGGACTGCGTTATTCAGCTCTGCACCACTGTGACAAATACCTAACAAAACCACCTTCAATGAGGAAAGATCCTCTTTTTTTTTAATGGTTTCAGAGGTTTCAGTCTGTGGTTGGCTGGCTCCATGGGCTTTAAGCTTGTAGTGAAGTAGTCCATGATGGCAGAAATACATGGTGAAAAAGGTTATTCACCCATAGTGGTCAGAAAGCAAGGGGAAATGAGGGCAAGGAGGGAGCTAGGGACAAGGTTCAGCCTTCAAAGGCCTGTGCCTAAGGACATACTTCCTGCAATGTGGCTCCGCTTTCAAACATTTCCACCACCCCCCAAGAGCACCATTACATTAGGAATCCATCAATAAATTAATACACTGATGGAGTCACAGCCCTCATGATCCGACTGCTACCCAAAAGCCCCACCTCTGAACACTAGTGTATTTGGACCAATCTTTCAATCTTTCAACAAATGATACTTTCGGAGCCTTCCAGACCCAAACCATAACAGGATGAAGCTAGAAACATAGCTGGAGTCAGATAAGGAAGTGTGCCACCAGCTACACTAAGAAATTTACATTCATTTTGTGTCCATTAAGGATGGAGGCTTAAGTACAAGTACAAGAGAGAGATTGAAGGAGGCAGAAGTTCATGTATAGCAATTGCAGAGACAGACAAATTTCTCCAGTGGAATACACAATTCATGGAATTTCAACATGAAAGTTCATACAAAACTACCACTAGCCTTTACCTGAACTAGTAGAAAAATAGTCACCTATTCTTTCTATATTTAATCTCCTATCCCAAACTCATAGTTAGGGTGATAATTCATTGAAGTATTTCTTACTGACTCCAATGAGCTCTTGAGCCCAATTTCAATTACCCAGCGTTTTGAGGTGAATGAAGTTCAGGCTTGGTCTGCCTAATAACTAAAATGTGGTTTCAGAAATGTGGTCAATTATCAAATGTTTGGAAATATTCAGGTTGATATATGTTGTATGTTGAGTACTCCCCCAAAGGCCCATCCCTGTGTTTTGGTTTCCAGGGTGGTGCTAATGGGAGATAGTGGGACCTTTAAGAGGTGGAGCCTACTGGGAGATCTTTAGGTCTTTGGTGTGCCTGGGAGAGGATAGTGGAACCCCTTACCCCTCCTCTCTCTCTTTTTTACTTCTTGGCCATGAAGTAAGTGGTTTTGTTCCTCCATGCACTCCCACCATGATGAACTGTCTTGCCACATGCCTAAAAAGCAATGGATTCACCAGCTTGTGAACTAGAACATTCCAATCTGTGAGCCAAAATAAACCTTTTCTCTTAATAAGTTGGTTAACATAGGCATTGGTTATGATGGAAAACTGACCTACACAGTTAACCTGGGACAAATGTTTTTGCTTTGTATAGACACTTGGCCTTGGGAAAAGCCATTCACAGATTACATTACAGGAACAGAAGGTCGTAGTTCTTTTAATCAAGAGGCTAGTAGGTACTAATGAGTATCTTTCTTTGGATTTCCC